TTGCCCTTTTTCAGCATAAAGGTTTCCATCTGTAAGGGAAAGTTTTATGGAAACAGTAGCTTAGGAAAATACACAACATGTAGCTGTTATAATTGCCATGTTTATGCTGAGTTCTGGATTTAGCTGGCTTGAAACAGTTCTGGTAAAAATAAACTTTCAGTGCATTTTAGGCAATCAGTGCTTCCAATAAGCACTGTCAACATGACCTTTAGTGGTACCAGAATTTCTCCTTGACTAAGTATTTAACTGGCTGTTCAATCCCTATGGCTTCCTGTCTGCTTTTCCTTTTCCCTCAGCAATTTTAATATTGGATCAACAACAAAATACACAAGCTTTCCATGGGGAAGATTTCTGACCATAATTTGAAAGGTGCTTGAAATAAGAAAACTGAGATGGGTGAGGTGAAGAATAGCAACATATATTACATGTTCTCCACATATAGATGTATATAAATGAATCACTGTTGAACAATGAATTATAGTTCATCTCACATTTTCTTTCTTAGAAAACTTTTAGTCTCCATTTATAAACCAAGTAGAATTTTTAAAAATAATGATTTATTCTTTATAATAATGCATACAACAGTAATTCTATTCTTATTAAACTACTTCAAGCCATTCAAAAGTGCAAATAATTTTGTTCTAGTTTTGTACTCATTCTTGGAAGCTCTTAATTAAATAATTCTTTTAATCACTACGAGTATTGATCTTACTACAATAAGATATCATTAGAAATTTGAAATATCACAGTGCGTGATATCAATGCACTATGACATACAACAAACTTTGTTTTAGGTAAGTTTATAGGTAATTTGAAACAATCTATAGTAACATCATGAATGTAACACTCATCTGGCAACTGACCTAATTACATAGGTACAAACCAATATTTCGTGTGTAACATCTAACTTTTCCTTTGTCAACTTTTTTTTTGGGGGGAGGGTGTTGGCTTGGGGCCACACCCAGCAGTGCTCAGGGCTTACTCCTGGTTGCATGCCTAGGGATCACTCTTAACGGGAATTGGGCAGCCACATTCAGTGCCAGAGATTAAACTCAGGTGTGAGCCACTACTTGGTTTACTATCTCCTTTGCCTGCCCCCAACCCTCCTACTTGCACTTTTCGAGATTAAAGTATAACTGAAAATAAAATGACAGAACATTTAAAATATACACGGTGGATGCAGAAGATAGCTCATCCTTACAAGTGCTAGACTCTGAGTTCAATCCTAAGCACTGATGATAATAGTCCTGGTAGCCCCTTGTACAAATGGACTCAAAAAGCAGTTCATTGTCTGAATCAAGTCTTGACAGGCCCACACAGTCAAGCCAAATATAGCTGGAAGTAGCGCCTTGGATCCTTAAACACCACCAGAAGCTTAAATTAATAAAACTAATCAATTAAAATAAATAAAATGACAAATGAATCTCGGAGGAGAGCAGCACACTGCAGAAATGCCTCCCCACCTTACACCAGGCTGATATCACCAAGTCACCTCAGAAGGGGGCAGGTGTGTCCCTCCACTTGCACCAAAAGAATCCCGGCAGTCGCAAACCTCCAGAACCTAATCGCTGCCACGCTCACAGCCGACCCTCACAGGCTTGCCCAGAATCCCTGTGCATGAGATTGAATCCACTAAAAATCCCAGGTATGCAGGACTTGTGACTACAATCTCCACACTTCTGGAGTCCAGAATGGGCCCCTCTGTTGGATAACACTGGGTTGTCCTTGCGCCTCCCCCAGGGAATTTAAGATTTATTGAGCCACTCCCACAACAGTGCAACTGAGGCACACCCAATTCCATCAAGCACTAATAATCCTATATTGCTTTTCTCTTTCCTTTATGTCATTTGCATGGCTTATTTAGCAATGTCCTTTTTGTACAGACACAGGAAGAGAGTTGATGCTATGCTAACTTGGGAGTTATTTGACTCCAAAATAATATTTACTCCTGGGCTTACCTGACTTAAGCCTCAGTTGCCCTTAGTTCCTAGCACTCTAAGAGCAGGGTACTGACGAGTGACTGGATGGACTCAGGGCAAACTGTGAGCTATCCTGGCATCGAAATGGGCCAGGCCAAGTGCCATAATACTTAACTATAAGTTAAGAGCATGGTCATGAACAAATCATGACCCAAAAAAAGGTAACTGAATAAGGACCTTGCTGGGGTTAGAAAAGACTAACCTGGCTTGAGGACTATGGTCTGGAATATATAGTAAGATGTCCCCAGGAAGAACCAACTTTAAGCTTAATGTATCTCTTACTGTGTTCATACAAAAAAACATTGCTAGAAATATTATAAGAAGTAAATTTACAATGACTGTTTAAATAGATTACTGGCTGAGGAAAAGAGAAAGCGATACACCCTGAATGTAATCACCTTTTTGAGCAGACCTCCTAGTAATCTGGAGTACTGAATCCTCAATTGAGATTTTGTCCTAGAGTTAATCTCCTGAAGGAGAGGCTTTACCTCTCTTTGTTGTTATGATAATGTTCAACCCCACCTTTGTATCCACCCTTCATGATTTCTATATAACTATGCCATAAGGGGTAAGAGGAGAAAAGTTGTTGAAGATCCTGAGGACTAGATGCTGAAGGCTAGATGTTGGGGACAAGATGCTGAAGACACTGGAACTAGATGTTGGGGACGAGAAAGTTGGGACTAGACATTGGGGACTAGATGTTGAAGATGATGAGTATGAGATGATGATGTTGGGGACTAGATGCTGAAGACCAGATGCTGAGGACTGGAAGCAGAGGACTTTGAGGTCTACAAGGAGACTAGGATGATGAAACTCTAATGACTGGGACTATGACCAAACCAACAATGACGATCAAAGGAGAGATCAGACTACGCAGGGAGGAGAGAGAACGAAACTGACTACTGACCACCCTGAGGCCTGGCTTCTGTTCCTCTGTTCCCCTGTCCTTCACTCATCCAGCCACCACTGCCATCATCCAGCCTGGGGAGGCAGCTTTCAGTCACCGAACACTCGAGTCCCTCATGTGGGACCATGAACCCTCTTTTTCTTTGAAATTTATACCCCTCCACCCATTTCCCTACACTTCCGATTTCTTGGCATCATACCCACGAACTACCTCTAGGTGTGATTTAAGTGCTTTTACTGCCATGATTCAGACTCAAAAATAAATCTTGAAGGGATAAAAAAAAAATTAAACTCCAGTTCTAGCACTCTATGAACAAATTTTAAAATTCTAGGAGCATGCAGCCACAAAATTTCATTCAATTATGCCATTGATATACGAAGAGTATTCCTCAGTCTCTCTCGAAGAGCCCAGCAAACTACCAACAGTATCCCACACGCACAGCAGAGCCTGGCAAGCTCCCCCTGGTGTATTTGATATTCCAAAAACAGTAACAAGTCTCACAATGGAGATGTTACTGGTGCCCGCTCGAGCAAATGAATGAACAACGGGAGGACAGTGTTACAGTGCTACACAGCACACCACATATATGCTGAGTGTAAGGTAGAAGTAGTACCACTGTCCTCCCATTGTTTATCGATTTGTTCGAGCGGGCTCACTCTCCATCATGAGACTTGTTGCTATGTTTGGCATATCAAATACATCACGGGTAGCTTGCCAGGCTTTGCCTTGGGGGCAAGATATTCTCGGTAGCTTGCAGGCTCTCCAAGAGGGGCGGAGGAATCAAACTCGGGTCAGCCGTGTGGGCTGCATGCAAGGCAAATGCCCTACGCTGTGCTATTGCTCCAGCCCATAAGGTAGAAGACAACCAATCTTAATTAATAAAATATATACATATATTTTCACACACTTTCCTCTAAAGAAACCTTTTTAAGTTTTTAAAAATTGAATCACTGTGAGATAGATCCTTACAAAGCTGTTCATGACTGGATTTCAGTCATAGAGTATTCCAACACCCACCCCTCCACCAATGTCCCCAGGTTCCCTCCCATCACCCTCATCCCCACCCCCTGCCTACATCTCTATGGCAGGCATTTTTCTTCTCTGTCTCTGTCTCTCTGTCTCTATCTCTCTGTATCTATCTATCTATCTATCTATCTATCTATCTATCCATCTATCTAATCTAATCTAATCTATCTGCTTTTGGATATTATGGTTTGCATAACTGATACTGAAAGGTTATCAAGAATATCCCTTACCTACTTTTATCCCTCAGATCTTGTCCAGCTTAATCATTCCCAGCTATTATTATCATACTCTTCTCTATCTACCTACTCTCAATCCCACGCACACTTGTGGTTAGTTCCAACCACTAACCAGTCCTCAAACCCCTGTTTTCCCTGGCCATGGATATTAGTCTTCTACTATATATGTTTTTTATATACCACAAATGAATGCAGTGATTCTATATCTATCCCTCTCCTTCTGACACATTCAATCAGCATGATACTCTTCATGTCCATCCATTTATTGGCAAATTTCATGACTTGATTTTTCCTAACAACTGCATAATAGTCCATTTTGTATATGGGCTATGGTTTCTTTATCCACTCGTCTGTTCTTGGGCACTCAGGCTGATGGGTAGCTTTTTGGATCATCTTTAGTCAATTATTCATAACAAGCAATACAAATAAATTCATTAGCATCTGCATTTCTGGCAGGCTTGGGTGGTAGTGGGAAAACTCTAAGTAATGGTGGTAGGAAGGTGTATTGGTGGTGGGGTTGTTGTTGAAATACTGAATGTAATCAATTACTGTTAATAACTCTCTGAAAATAAAATTTTAAAAAGATTAAGTAAATAAATAAAAGATGCATTCTGGTTATCTAATGCACATATTTATTGGAAAAGGATTCCCACCACATAGTTATTTAACACATTAGTAAATACTGGTACATCACTTTTTTTGGGTTCATTAAGACATTTAAATTCTATTCCATTTGAATATTTCAATTCTCAAAAGCATTCTATGAATCAAACTACAAAGCATGTTATTTCATAGTTAAGTCCATACTACATATACTACAAACATTTCTACAGTACTGTAGGGTCTGGTTACCTTAAAAGTTGTGGTACCATAGAGCTTGGTGGTATGAACTGTCTCTGGAAGTACATTAGTGATATTGGTGATAAATTCTTCCAAGTATTTACAGGATTTTTCCAAGTGTGTTGTATTGATAATAATCTGCACAAGCTAGAAAATGAAAGAAACAAAAGAGTCATTTGACAAGGCATCCCAGGTTGAATATGAATATTAATCTGCTGGTCAAGAAAAAGACAAAGACAAGCCATGTTTACTCTACAAAAGGTACTGTCAAAGCACAAGCTTAGTTACTGTATCCCTGATCTCCCAAAACACTTTGTATTTCTCACAATTATCAGAGCATGTGTCACTCTATTTAAAGCATATCTTCTTGTTTTTGTTCTTTAAATAAATAAATAAAAACTGCTTTGTTTAGTTAGCCAAGTGATAAATTATTACCAAATGACTTCATTAAACTTCCACATAAATAAAAAAGGAATAACTTAAATGACAAGAATAAGCTTCAAAATTACGTTTGATGACTAGATATTTCTTGCAAAATATAAGTTGAAGTATAATACTGTTTACATTAGCTCATGGAAAAAAAAGAACATGGGCATCAATACTAGAGAAACCAGGGAATTAACTACTTACAAGTTCTTGAGTTTGAAATTTCTTAATTTTCCTAAGTTATTTTTTGTTCTCTATGAAATGCTAACAATAATTTCTAAATCACAGTGAGTTTGTTATTAACCCTAGCTCTCCATATTTTGATTCTGCTCTATGTAAAAAAATAAACAAGGAGTTATGCCTACAACTTATTTTAACACATAAATTCATTTCCCAGGATCTAAACTTTAAAATAAAGAAAGATAATGGAGTGGAATCATATTTTTTTACTCTTCCCCCCCCCTTTAAATTTTCCTTTTCACAAGAATATGCATAGTCGTAGGTCTGTAGCAAGCAAGAGGAGTTTGGGTAAGTAAGGCCACAGATGAATTAAGTAATTTTTTACTCTAGTGAGATCCTGAGCTAAGAGAGAATACATAATATGAAGGGATCGGAAATTAGAAAAAAAAGATAAATGGAGGCATTACACATTTTAATAATTGAATGCTATTACAAAATAATTGTTAACAGTTTTATTATATACAGTAGGTCTGAATATCATGCTTTGGGATAGTAAAGTATTACTAGGACTATAATAAAAAATTATATTCTTATCATCCTAATTGCACTCTGTATAGGATTAAAAAATAACAATTCATTCTAAAATAATACCTGTCAATTCACAGTGACATTCATAGATACCATAGTAATGGGTATTTTCTACTCCACTAAAATCAGCCAGAAAACCTGCGGAAAACAGCTACTTCTAAAACAAAGTGAAAAAGCACAGAACCCAGAGATGGAATTTCAACAAAGATGACAACTTGGGTCCAGGTATCTATAGCACTGCTATTACTTACCAAATAAGTTTACATTACTCAGGAAGCCATTTCCATCAATTCCACAAATTAAAATTTGGAGACTCTGAATTTTGGACACAATATTTCGTTCCCTCTCTCCCACAAAATTACCCAAAACAATCAGCCTTTAATTTTAGAGCATTCTAGGAATAACTACTCAATGAGCAACTTATCACTTCTTCCTTTAACATCTCTCAGAGGATAGAATTTGTTTTTTAATTTTTTTTTAAATTGTCTTAATTAAATCACTCTGGGGGGACAGCAACTGGCAAGGCTGTCGTGATGTTAAAGTCAGAAAAGTAAGATAGTTAATTTAGAGAGCTGAAGACTTTCTATTTTAAAATCAGCATTACCGACAGGGAACACATTCTATCAAAAGAAATCCTAATAATACAGAGAAATTGTGTCATGTTATAGAAATAAAAAATAGTGGCAGTCAACGAGAAAATTGTCCTGTTTTGCAGGATATTGGCAGTTAAAAAAAAAAAAGGAGGCGTTTCACTGGGTACAGTAGTAATTTACCATGACTTTTTAAAGATCTGTCAACACAAAAGATCACCATGAATTGCACCAATTGGCTGTCAGTCACTTTTGAAATGTTTCATTGCTGTGCATAGAATAGACTATTAAAACACTCTAGGATTACAGTAGATACCATGTCATTTTCAGAAGGAATATTGTCTGTTAATGAGGTCTAAGTGATCTGTACTCCTGAATGACAGCTAACCAAAATCCTTATAAAGGCATTTACAAATGTAAAGCCAGATGCTTTGGGGGTAATTTTGAACTTACTGATGAAATGAAGCAATTTCAGGTATCAACTTCCATCAGAGTTTAAGCGCCTTTGATATTTTTAACCCCTACTTCCCATTCTTCTTGCAAAAAAAATATATCACTGTAACAATCACAATTGTCCTTAATATGGTTTCAAGGACATAGAGCTGACAGAGATGGGATTATAGATTATCTCTTATATAAAGTTCTATAAAAACTGCCTAAAAAGGAAAACACTATTAAACAAACCATCACCTCTTTTACAACTAGATGACAGGAGACATTTGAGTTAAAAACCATTAAGAAGCAGACTTCTTTTTTCCTGTGCTTCTTTCAGTATCAGTGAGACTCTAACAAGGAAGGTACAGTACATTATGGACAACCCTTCTCTGATCCTTCTTCAGACCCCAGAAGAAACATAATCATGATGACACATAAATGTTCTGTTCTCGACAAACTACTACAGAAGAAAAAAAATGTCTTCCATATCTTCAATCCATTCAAACTAAGACCTAACTTGCAAGGTTTTCACTGCCTACATAAACCAAGTCCTCTTACATTAGAATTGATATTAGCTTATTTTTCAAAGACAGAGAATTCAGTTTATGAAAACTCCCAAGAAGCCAACACAAAGCAAGAAAATGAAAAATCACATTCTATGCAATCCTACCCATCAATGCATCTCAACTGCTGGACCAGCAAGAAGATGAAAAAAACTAAACAGCATCCTGCAATCTCATTCATAAAAATACTGCATTTCACTACATGGGTTGTCATAGATTTAAAGCCCCTTGTCCCCCCGCAAAAAACATGAAGTGCCTTGTGAATACTATATGAAGCTTAAAAAAATAATTGTGTTGGTACCACTTACATAAAGCAACAATTATATGGTGGCAACATTTACACAGTGAAATACCTTAAGCTTTCTATAATATTTCATGAAATTTGATCTCTGTTTCACTCAGGGTACCCCCACACGCAAAAAAGTTTTAATACTCATTTTATACCATTTCCAAGACAAACACCTATAACACTTGCAAGTACTAGTTCTCAATGCATGTTTCATACAAAGAAAAGATTTAAATATAAAATGCTTTAATATAACATTAGCAATGGCATTGCTCTCAGTAATGAGGGGTTGCAGGGTTGCAGCTGGGAGATGACAGAAAAAAACCATATGATCATCAATCTAAATTGCACTAAACACAAAGGGTTAATGTGAACCATTAATCATTTACACAGGCCTCCTAAAGCACAATTATAATTGTAAATATATATCAATATCAAAACTGTTATCAGTAGCAAGAACTTTTAATTTCGTTACTTTTACCATAAAAAGTACCTATTTTTAGGTACTACCCATCGACTTATTCTTTTCCTTCTCTTTCTTCAGTTAGGAACTTCTCTGTACTATGGAATCAGCATACAACTATGCACAATTCAAAACAGAGAGAAAACATTCTTGGCCTCATGGAGTAAAGACAAAGCAGAGGGTACATTGTCAGGTGATAAAAAAACCACTGGGAATAGAGTTACTTGGTGATGGTAAGTCCCAGCCATCCTGAGACAGGGTAGAGAAGGAAGATCTCTAAGAAAATGAGATCCAAAGATGGACTTAAGTGAAGGCATAATATTTCCATCAACTGTAATACTTAAATTCTTTTTAACCCAATTTATATTTCAAGGCTTCTTTCTTCACTAGGAAGCAAGGGTCCCTCTGTTTTTAAGATGAAGATTTTAAAAAATGAAGAAAATTGACCTTAAAATTTCCTATCAACATACCAAAATTTCAATGTAATTAATTCTCTGATATTCTGAGATTAATAGAAAGGTCATCTAGTTCATTTCTCTACAGGATAGTAATGCCTTTAAATTAACAAAGTAAAAGCAAGGGCTGGAGAGAAAGTTCTGGGGGGGTGCTTGCTTTGCACACAGTTGACCCCGGTTCAATCCGCACTGTACGTGGTCCCATAAGAATTGCCGAGCATGACCTCTGAGCATAGAGCCAGAATTAAGCCCTGAGCAATGCTGGGTGTGGCCCCCAAAACAAAAGTCAAACCCAAACAATAGGCTAAAATCAAAGCCTTCTCTAGTGTCCAAAAAAGAGAATATTCTACTTGGTACAATACAAAGTTATTCTTTGAGTCTGAGAATATTTGAAAATTTGTCCAAATAAATTAATGACAATAGCATTCCCTTTCCCCAAAATAACCTCACAAATCACACATATAGGAACCTCCTACTTTTAGATAGCTAAGGAAATCTATAAAAGAAATCTTGTTCAAATTTTATTTTCAAAAGATTTTTTTTTTTTTGCTTTTTGGGTCACACCCGACGATGCTCAGGGATTACTCCTGGCTCATGCACTCAGGAATTGCTCCTGGCGGTGCTCAGGGGACCATATGGGGTGCTGGGAATCGATCCTGTGTCGGCCATGTTGGCTGTGTGCAAGGCAAACGCCCTACCCGTTGTGTTATCGCTCCAGCCCTTTATTTTCAAAAGAAAACATATTTCAAAACTTATTTCTAATCTTATTTCCAAACTACTGGTTATATGAACTTAAGCAAAGCTATATTTTTACAATCTTAAAATTGGATAATGATATTAATATGGTACCAAAGAAATTTTTAGAAACATAAATAGTAATATAAATACTGAAATACCAAAATGTAATAAAAACCCTATAGCTGAGAACTATTACTGACATGGGTTGATTATTTCTTTATCAAAATATACCTTAGGAAAACATATACTTGGGATCAAACAAATAGTATAGTTGGTAGGACATTTGCCTTGTTGACTGAGGTTCAATCCCCACCACCCCACATAGTCCTCCAAGAGTGATTCCTGAGCACAGAGCCAGAAGCAAGCCCTAAACACAGTCAGGCATGACCCACAAATAACAGCAACACACACACACACAATCAC